CACACAGTGTGTTTAATTAAGAATTTCTTATCTCCTACTCTGTTAATTGCATGCTAGAACCTACAACAACTTCCTGTGTGTGATTGAAATTCAACTAACAGAATAGTAGTTAATAACTTCTAAAATAAACACACTGTGCTGTGAAAATGTAAACTTTTTCATGCAGGCTGTGTGAGTCACAGCCAGGGGGAGGTGTGGCTAGGCTGCATAAACACAAACAAATGTGATTTATCTTCTAAATCAGAGAATGGAGAGTGAGACTGCAACTGCATGATCTATACCCAAAAACTGTGTCATTAAGCTAAAGTTGTTTTGATGCTTGTGTGTCCCTTAAGATGAAAAACAATTTAACGGTGTTGAGAATAGGAATATTTTCAAGTTCAGGGATAATATTCAAAGGAAATTATAGATACATCATTACACATATAATAGACGTGTGCAGTTGCTTCTTAATTGAAGGTATCCAGATGTTTTCAGGAACCTTAGACTGGTGGCGGATACAATATTATAAGGTAGGTTAATCCATATAGGATAGAATATTCCATGTGTAGTAGGTTATCCTACTTTGCGGAGCTCAAAAAAGCTGTACAGACCTTTTTAATTTGAGAATGTAACGAAAATCCATTTCCTGTGTTTAAATAGTGGAGGGAGCGGATTTCAAATTAAACAAAACTCCGAACTAGAACAATAAGCTACAAATGACCTTTAAATAATATTATATTAATGATATATTTATTTTAATAATATAATGATTTTCTTACACACCACTTTTAAAAATTCAAACTTTATTTTGTTCTTTTGTCCCTTTTCCTCTATTGTTATAATTTCCTTATACGTTTGGTGTAGCCCAAAGGAATTGTTACTATACTGGCAACACAACTTGCCAAGAGGCTTCTTGGTCTTCCTCCCATCTGTCTGTCAATGTAGATTGTAGCGTTAGTTAGCATTTTTCTCAGGTAGAACATACGGGCCATCTGCACAGCTGGATTTGGTCATAACATAGAAGAAAACAGTCATAGCTACAGCAACCATGTGTTACTTGTAGCCTGTGGTACAGTAGTGTTGATTTCTTTGGCAGAGTGTTACAGCCTCCGGGAAGTCACAGAGGCATGGCAAACACTTTATTTTACTTCCTCTTGCATTTTTTATTAAGTACAGTTTAGGTTTTGGAACGAACAGGAACATGACAGAAAGTTTATAGGGGACCAAGTTACGATGGACTTTGCAGCTGAGTCCCAGGCACCATATGTTAGACTAGAGCGGTTTTTACATTAGACACTACAAAAAACTTATATTGTTTACTTGGAAAAATAATTTGTTTATTACAGTGAACTGGGTTTTTGTAATACCTGTTTTTTTCTTTTTCATATTGATTGTGTCGTTATTTTGCAAAAACTTTGGAAAGGTAATCCACAAATTGGTCAAACTCCTCAATTCCAGCTTGGTAGATTCAATATTTGGCAAGTCTCCTTGAACCTGAATGGAATTCTACTTTGCATCTAAGTTTAGTAAAAACTGTGTTTGATGTCTACAAATTCAAGAGTAGAATCCTGTAGCTCTAGAACAGAGTTTGTTGAACAGGTGGCTACAAAATCCACTGAATTAAACTGTAGGCATTAGGAGTGTTATAACAAAGTTGTCTTCAATTGCATCTTTAAAAAAATGAGAGAAGGACTTAAATATAGTAATATCTCATACGGATTGGTGTGCCTTTTTGTTTAAAATTAAGTTATTAATTTTTTTTAAACATCTTGAAACAAATGGAAAGATAATGCAAACATAGTATATGGTCCCAAAAAGATTATCAAAAATGTCCCCTTTAAATTCTCCACTTTGTTGGCAATGTAACGAGGATTAGAGTTCCATGGTGCATATTTGGTGGAGTTGTCCCAACATTCTTCAATTTGTATGATGTGTATAATATGATAATTTCTCTAGGGGTCATCTACCTAAATAGTAACCCAGAAGTAAGCCCTTTTACATCAGAGGTGGGGAAGATTACATTTGAAAATGAGGATCATGATTACACACTGTTTGATGGCCACTAAAATGGTGATTGCCAGAGATTGGAAGTAGAGTTTAATCCTACAATATACTCAATTTAAAACACAACTACTTTATTAGAGATGGAGAAAGGCGTTAACTTTAATTGCAATAAAGATAAGGTCTATATAATTTATTTAGATCTTATTAATAAGTTAGAGTCTGTTGGTTAATAATCTTGTCACATTTAAGTGAACCTATTGACCAACTTTAATAATTGAGTTTTAAAACACCAATTTTAATTCTTATAGGATTGCTATTATGTGCTTGTTTTGTACAAAATGCCATCTCAACACATGAATAAGGTTTATTAGAAAGGGTTGTTTTCTATTTATGTGCTTGATTTTGCTTCTGTGAAAAAATTAATAAAGATTAAATTGAAAATAAAAAGTTATCTTCAATGTGTAGATGTTTGTTTTTTATGATTATTACATTTATGAAATGTTAGTTTGTATAGCTTGCTGTAAAAAAACATAGTTAAGATAGCTAAAATAGAAACTAATTTCAAGGAATTACTACATATAAAGAGTACACTCTTTCCATAAATAATTCAAATTCTGGACGGACTCTGGGTTGATCTACACCACTCCCCACCACACACACACACACAGAATTTGTTCATATAGTCTCGGCAATGTCCAACGTAAACTTGTGGATATGTATGGATAGTTTTAGCCTGGTAATGTGTAAGGTCTTCTGGCTAGAATGCTCTACTCCAAACAAATACTGGATCGCTATTTATTTCAGAACTGAGATTCATATATACAAAAATTAGAACCTTATTTTAAAGCATTGGTAAAATGAGATTTTGAACATTCTGGTTGGTCTGCACAGCGTACCCTAGCACATATTTTGCAAAAAAACCCAAAAAACTATTTACACAGAATCAGATAAAAAGCATTGTCAATTATGTTTTACTGAAGATATAAAAAAATTTAATTTCCTTTAGCACTGACCCAAAACAAAGCTCAGAAAAGTGTAAGCACTTTATGGGGACATGGTCTATATGAATAAGTCTTTTCTGCTGTTTGCACTAATAAAAGATTAAAAAAGTGTTTTTAATAAAACCCATAGCACCTTATATTAAGAAAAAAACTCTTATGTCTGGTAATATTTTTATGTATATGTAAAGTTGATTATATGATTAATTTTATGTACTTCTTTATTTTAAAATGAATTGATATAAATTAGATGTTCCAAAGGACTTATTATAACGAATTGGTATGGTGGAACACATAGAATGCGTTCCAAGAGAAAAAGGAAGTGTCATCTAATTCACATGACCGGCACACGAATGGGACATGCGTTCCATTAGACGGAACGTGCGTTCCACTGAGGGCACTTCCGGGTGTTCGGACAACTTCCGGATTCACAGATGGCGATAATCCTGCAATCAAAATGGAATAAAAGACAGGAAGAGCACCACACAGATTACACACCAACTGAGGAAGCCAGTCAATGGCGAAACGCGTTTTGGACTCTATATTCTACCTTTACCAGTAATTATGGATCATTTGATCATTTTATTCTGTATTTTTTATTTGCACCAATAAATTTGTTCATCTTCACCATTGGAGTCTTCCTGTCCATTCCTATACTTTCATCTGGATGTGGAGGAGACTAGAAGGAGAAAAAAGAGGGTGGTGGATCTCCCCTGAAAAGATCCCAAAGTGCTACACACCAAGAGCCAGGTGACCAGTTGGCTCTGTGCTTGTGAGTTGGAAATGATCATATCTCTATTCATTCTGTATATGCATGCCATCTGCACTATGAATGTGTTTTATATTGTTCACAGATTTCTGTAATATTTTATAATCAGCATATCCATTTGCCCAAGGTACTTTAGCGCTCCACTTATACCCCTTTTTTTTGTTATACTATATGTTATTGTGAGGGTTAAGGGGATCCTTCACTTAAGTGTTGAGCCTATCCAATGGTATTGTAAATGTGTGCACGTTTTAGTATAGTCACAAAGTTCAGAAAAGGCTCAGAAATGCAGATTAAACGAGGAAGCGTCTCTTTGATTGGACTGCTTGTAAATCAGTGTTTAGCACCAATAAGTATAGAGCTTGTTGATTATATATGCATCAAATAACCAATACAGTGTTAAAGTGGAAATTTTCCAGGGTACCCATAAAATTTATATTTACTTCATTCTCTCCACTGAATTAACTTAGGTTCACACTTTGAAAAAGCCTTTTGGAAAGGTGAAACGCGTTTGTGGGCTTTTTTTCCTGCATATTTTACAAAACCTTTTTGTTTTTTAAAGTACCGTATAAGATCAATTATAAGTCGACCCGAATATAAGTCAAGACCCCTAATTTTACCCCAAAAAACTTGGAAAACTTATTGACTTGAGTATAAGACTAGGGTGGGAAATGCATCAGCTACTGGTAATTTTTTAAATAAAATTAGATCCCCCCAAAATTATATTAATTGAATATTTATTTACAGTGTGTGTATATAATGAATGCAGTGTGTGTGTGTATATAATGCAGTGTGTTTGTATGAATGCAGTGTGTGTATGAATACAGTGTGTGTGTGTGAATGAATGCAGTGTGTGTTTGTGTGTATGAGTGCAGTGGGTGTTTGGGATGCAGAGCCTTGGTGGGGGGGTGGGCATTTTTATTATTTTTTTTAATTATTATTATTATTTTTTATATATATTATTAATATTTTTTTATTATGTTATTATTTAATTTTGTATTTATATTTATTTTCGTCCCCCTCCCTGCTTGTTAGCTGGCTCTCATTCCCTGGTGGTTCAGTGGATGGGCTGTGCAGGAGGGGGGCTGGCAGAGAGCTGTTACTTACCTTTCCTGCAGCTCCTGTCAGCTCCCTTCTCTTTCCTCCGGTCCGGTCAGTTCTCTTCTCCTCCACTGGAAGTCTCGCGGCCGCGCGGAGCGTTCCACGCGGCTCTCGTGATATTTACAGTGGAGCTGACAGGGGAGCTGACCGGAATGGAGGAGAGAGAAGGGAGCTGACAGGAGCTGCAGGAAAGGTAAGTAACAGCTCTCTGCCAGCCCCCAACAGGACTGCAGCCGCCAGGGACCGCCGGGCTCATTACAAGCCCGGCGGTCCTATTGTGGGCTGGCAGAGAGTGGCTACTTACCTTTCCTGCAGCTCCTGTCAGCTCCCTTCTCTCTCCTCCGTTCCGGTCAGCTCCCCTTTCAGCTCCACTGTAAATCTCGCGAGAGCCGCGGGGAACCTGGTCTGTATTATGGCAATGTAAATTACCTTAATACAGACATTAACTCGAGTATAAGTCGAGTGGGGGTTTTTCAGCACAAAAAATGTGCTGAAAAACTCGACTTATACTCGAGTATATACGGTAGTTTATAATAAAAGTAGGTTTTTATCCTGTTCCTGGATACCCTCTCATCTATAACAATTCTACATTGACTACATCCTTTGTGGTAATACTATCCACTAAAGCTTTAGGGATTAAGCAATATTAACCACAAATTGCTCAGACAAATGTAAGTAGCCATTACGTGTTTTATTGAGGAATCGTACCAAGTATAAGAAGATACCCTGTATATCCCAGGTGGGGATTACTCCACTCACGCGCTCTATCCTAGAGCTGGTTTAAAGCTCTATTATACGTGAGTTCCTCCTTTTTTTCCAGTCCAGATAGTGATATATTCTCCACCATGGACTCTTTCTGTTTTTTGTTTTACATATTCACTTATCCAAAGAGCTATGACCACCCCACTGCTATGATATTTATACTGTTTAATTATCTATAGATCTACCTGAATATAAACATGATTTCTGGACAGCAGGTACATTTTACGTGTAATTTGTTGGCTCTTGGCTTTAGATTTTCTCAGCATATTTTCAAACCAAGACACTAAAAAGTGATATTACATGTATACTCGTAAATAGCATTATTTACTTTTAGATATAAGCTACGTAATTCTTTTTGCTGCCATTGGGCTTTGAGGGGGGCTCCAAATCCATGTTACCCTATTCTCATATACAGATACTTCTAATTACCCTGAACTGGGAATTCAAGAGAACTAACATAAACATTTCTTATGTTGGTCCAAAATAGCTGAGCTCGAAAAATACATAAAAATCTAGCTGGATAATTTTTCCGCTGCATCTAGTGTGATTTGAAATTTGCAAATCCTTTTCCAAAAAAAATGGTATTACCAAGAGGCTCCGATTATCTCTGATTTTGCATCTTGGCAGTCACATTCGACTCTCCTCATTCACAAGCCTAAATATTTTTGTTTAAAAGAATTACTAGTAAATAATAGATAACCAATGCACTAAAAATATAATATATGTATTTATTGACTAAATAGAATTCCGGCCACTGCTACATAGGCTGTGACGTTTGCGTAAAGGCACACCAAGCGAGACTTAAAATAATCCACAAAAGTAAAATATTCTTTCATTTTATCCTTTGGTTACTGTAATTACAAGTAATTTCATAAAGGATTTTCAATTTTTAAGAAAGCACACTTTTGTACTCGATCCAGCTAAAAGGATTTTCGTACATTACTACATTTAAAAACCATCTTTAGACTTTTAATGTTATTTCATTAACACGTATGCCTGTAGGGTACGTTCCAAAATGGGTTAAAGTTACAAAGTTATGCTTATGAAAAGCGCATGGTAATTTGGAGTATCAGGAGGATTTATTAATTTTGAAATCTTAAAAGAGCAAAAAGCTAAAATGAGATTGGATTAAGTATATTCTTGCAACACAGTTCTTCTAAACAGCCTTAAGGAGCACAGACTAACTTAGAGAAGATATTATGCAAATAGCAATTCTAATATATCTCGGAGTGCCTTATAGGCTCACTGATGTAAAATTTTACATGGTTAGTTAAACACATCAAGAAAAACGTTTGACCTTGGTACAGAATTCTGAAAAAGGTATTTATTTTTCAAAGTGTGTCTTTTTTAATGGAATTGCAGAATATATCAATGGAACATGCAAATAATTTGGATACGAATTTCATCACAATTGCCTCAGTGAGGAACACAGCTTGCCTTAGTAACGAGCTGTTACGGAGACCAAAGATATTCTTTATAATTTATCTTTATCACAGTTTTGCCCTTGCTGCTCGGGTGGATTATCACCATTCCCAGATGTCGTGCGTGGAACAAGATGCTTTTCATTAGTTGGTGGAAAGAGAGAGAAGAACAAGAAAAAAAATAGTTTCATTCACAAAGCAGTGATAATAGCAGAACCCAGTAAGTATTCTGATGTGAATGGTTTACTTCACATGTTATATCTTACATTGCTTTGTGGATAATAGCTGAAGAATGGATCTTAAATCCGGGAACAATTAAATGGGTTTTTTTCCTTGTATCTTCTGAAAATATTTATTACTGTAACTCCGTCTCTTATGCAGAGGAGAAATGGATCACTCTGGAAATAGATACAGTCAGTGTCTTGGACAATCAAATACCATTAAGGGTTAGGGTTTTGTGACCTGCGCCAAGACCCTCTTTTTAAATAATCCACATTTTGATGAACTCCTTGAAAGTCCTTCTGGAAAAACAAAGTCAATATTTCATATTAACATGTGGGAATGAGATGTAGGATCTTTTTTTTCTTCGTAAAGCCCAGCTTACCATTTGCGTTGCTCGTGTGTTTTATTTTCACCCTGATGGAACTCCATTCTGTCCTGCATTATCTCTATTAAGATGATGTCACCTCTTCCTGTACTGTACATCTACCATTGTAGATCAAACTTCATGGCTGCACTCTAGAACGTGGAGGCTGAGGACGCTTAGAACACTTTATGAATTATTTTCCAGGCTGCAGTGACAATCTGCAGTATCCTCTTATTTACAGATGTTGGGTGTGATCGTGTTTATTTTGGGTATTACAGTGATATTTTTAGGAAGCTGAATTCCCGAAAATGACATAGGATTCTTTATAAATAGTCATAAACAGTGTATTTTTCTACAGTGTAGAAAAAAATAATTAATCTATTTTTGGCACACTGTATGTGATAAAAAAGAAACTTATTCTGTGTAAGCATCAAAATGATTGTATAAAATATTGTAAAAAAAAAAAAAACTACAGTTTGTAACGCATGTTATCCATATATATATATATATATATATATAAATATATATATATAAAAAACAGATACAAATTTGTATCTTGTAATACCTTTTTTATTGGACTAACAGAATTTTTTAATAACAAGTTCTCGGGAGAACCTCCCTTTCTCAAGTCTGAAGCATTTCTGAGCAAGACGACACATAGAATTCAAAGTTGAGTTGTGATACAGGGGTTAAAGCTACAGGAGTGCAGATAAGACACAGGTTTGCTTGTTTTTTTCTCTCTCTCCCCCCTCACTCTGTTCTTCACACAAGATATTTATGACCCTCTGCTAAGATGATGTCTATTTTCTATCAAACCTGTGTCTTATCTGCACTCATGTCGCTTTAACCCCTGTATCACAACTCATCTTTGAATTCTATGTGTCGTCTTGCTCAGAAATGCTTCAGACTTGAGAAAGGGAGGTTCTCCCGAAAACTTGTCATTAAAAAATTCTGTTAGTCCAATAAAAAAGGTATTACAAGATACAAATTTTATCTGTTTTTTTACATCTACATTACTGGACTAATACAGCTACAATATCTACTTGACGTGGAAGAATTTTTCAGAAGGATGCGACTTAAGGAATACTTCCATGACAAAGAGAGCACTGAAACCACAATGGATTACAACAACCGGAAAAAAACCCACTAATTTCACTCCAGCACCAGGACGAAATGCCAAACTGGACAGTTACATTGAAAGTTTCCGTCTAAGAACAGTATCCTTGACAACCAAGCAAAACCAAAAGAAAATGTTTCATAATCTCTCTGTACAGGAACAAATGGCTATAAATGACCTGAAAAATAATCATGCTATCACCATCAAACCAGCAGACAAGGGAGGAGCAGTAGTGATAATGAACACCCAGGACTACATAAAAGAGGGTGACAGGCAATTGTCAGATGACAAATACTATAGAAAACGAAATGAAGACTCCACCAAGGAATATACATCACAACTTAGGGAGCTCATTAAATCCTTCCCTGAGAACTTAAACCTAGAACTGCAATCACTCATACCAACTAGTCCCTGCATGGGCACTTTCTATATGCTTCCCAAAATTCACAAAGCAGGTAATCCTGGAAGACCCATAATTACAGGAATGGGAATTCTCACAGAACAGATCTCAGGACTGGTAGAAAATACCCTAAAACCTCTAGTCACCAACACTAACAGCTTCATAAAAGACACAACCGACTTCCTCAACAAACTCAGCCAAGTCACCAATCTCCCTGCTAACACCATCCTTGTAACCATGGATGTGGAATCTCTGTACTGCAACATTCCACATACAGATGGTATCAATGCTTGCTTCCGTTTCCTCTCTCGTGTCAACAACCAAAAATACAGCCCCCGAATTATCACAGAACTGGCACTATTTATCCTCACACATAACTACTTCAATTTCAACAATGAGGTTTACCTACAAACCATGGGCACTGCTATGGGCACTAAGATGGCACCCCAATATGCTAATCTGTTTGTGGCAGATCTTGAACAGTGATTCCTAGAAATCCAACACACCAAACCATACAAATATTATCGCTACATCGATGATATCTTCATAATTTGGACTGAAAGCGAAGAAAAACTGATACAGTTCCAGGACTCTTTCAACACATTCCATCCATCAATCAATCAAACTAAAAATGGAATATTCCACTAGATCTGTGAATTTTCTGGACACCACTGTGACATGTAATAATGGCACAAACCACACCTTGGTTTACAGAAAACCCACAGACAGGTGCAGTTACCTACACAGCTCCAGCTTCCACCCCTCTCATACTAAACAGGGCATTGTCTACAGCCAAGCCACTAGGTACCATCGCATATGCTCTGATCCTAATGACCGTAATTCCCATCTAAATGTACTCTCCCAATCTATGAGACAGAAAGGCTACAAACCAAAGACTATTACCAAACAAATCAACTCTGCTGTAAAAACGCCACGCACGCGCCTGCTACAGTACAGAGAGAAAAAAATATCCACACGTGTGCCACTTGTGGTCACCTATAACCCAGCTCTTGAGGAAATACGGAAAATCATCAAAGACCTACAACCAATATTAACAGAAG